AGTTGGGTTGGGAGTTGTCAGCTGCAGGTTATCGATGTTAATCTTGTTGAAGAATGTGACACTTCATATAGTTAGAACCCTGTTTTTCCATCAGTAATACTGCATTTTACCTCAGTCATAAGATTCAACCTTCTACATTAGGACTTTGAAAAAACAGTTTTGCTGCCCTGAAATTGCATTGAATGTCTTCATTTGAGCTGTATAATATTATGACACAGGTCAGTAGCAGATCTCATCAGCAGTTCCAGTTTTGATGTGAACTATGCTTTTGGGCGTGCCCAGAGGAACCTGCTGCACATTGCTGCCAAGTATGTAGAACATCATCTGTATTTCCTGTGTGTTATACAGACATGTAGAGTCTATATTTATCTTTGATCCTGTGGTTTAAGCTACGGTCCCAACTCGCCGTACCTGCTTCTGCGTGCTGTCTACGTGCACAAACGTGGGCAAACGTAGGGCATCCGTGCGTGGTGAGTACCACCTCTGTACGGAATCCTACGGATCTGGGAGCACGCAGATACGCCGTAGAACTTAAAGTGCATGTAAAACTTTTTCTACGTGCGGTCTGCGGATTCACCACCCGTGGGTGCGAGTACGAGCGATGTGCGTGCCCCGTACGTGCCGTGCGGAAGAAGCACGGGTGCATGAGTACGGCCTCCTTACGGTAAAGTTGCAATCGCACAGAGATTGTACCTTGTAAGCACGTACAACTCAATTACCTCTTGCGCAACGCACAATGCACGCAACCGCTCACGGCCAGACGTAACGTTCAGACCACACTCTTACACCTTGCGCAACTGTGCGATTGACGTGCGAGTGACGTGCGTCGACGCCACTCCTTCCCTACGTTTTCAGAAAAAAACGTAGCAGACGTAGCCTCAAAAAAAATGAATGGACAAAAAGCACATACGGCGGGTTGTGACCGTAGCTTTAAAGTGCTCATGACACCAAAATATGACCTTGGTTGATTGTAATTGACATAGCTAGTATTCCCTGGCTATCAGACACATTTACAATGTATATGCACAGTTCTCCTGTACATTCGAAATTCTAATACCCTTGGAAAAGTCAGCACAAGCCAGTCCTGGCAGGTGATTTGCATCTCTGCATTTTGTTTTTGCATGTCTATTTTTCCTGAGCTGATGTCACCCAGTGATAGCCTGGGTACCATCCTACTTGTATACCCGGGCTCCCACACTCGCTTCCCTAAGAAGGGAAGCGAGTGTGGGAGCCCCGGCATACAAGTAGGATGGTACCCAGGCTAACCCAGTGATGTCAGCTCAGGGAAAAGCACAGAAATGTAAAAATAAAACACAGAAATGCAAATAGAGATGCCCGAAATGGGCAATTGGGAAGCTTGCCAGAGTCTCCAAAAATTCACTTTTAGAAGGCCGTACAACTTACTACAAGCTCAATTCCTCAGTCATCATGATTGGAACAAACTTGAAGTGACTATATTGTATGTATACTTTGGATATTTGTATTATTACCTCCGGGGGAGGAGACATCCTTCCGCGGAAGGGTTTTGTGAGAGATTTAGATTTTCATGTTCGCAGCTGTTTCTCGCGTTTGGGTGGACGGATTATTTTGAGACTCGGTATATGTTTAAGCTATTGGGCTGTAGATGATGCACGTTCTGTTGTTTTTATTGTATATGTGTTTTCGGGCGTGACAATGGTGCCTTTGGTGGCCCCAAAACACCCCTTTGAGCGTGAAAGTGGTCGTGGCCGTTGACCTTTGGCGTGTTTAAGCTATTCTCGGTCTGGTCCACGTATATGACCCCTCACACAGAGGGGTGTCCGGTCTCCGTGAATTCTTTGTTTGAAACCCTATATAAAAATATACAATAAAAAGCCCGGAGGTATAAAATCTCAGATTTTACTTGTTTTACAGACTTTTTATGGTGTCATTTGGTCTTTAAGGACCAGGTCTCAAAATACTTTATTCTGCATGATCACACTGCTGTGCACCTGCACTCAGGTTTTAATGTAACCTGCACCACCCAGAATTTTTTTTTAAGTACGCATTGCACTGAAAACTGTCCAGAAACCATTGCCATTATTCTGTAGATGGTTCCTGCACAGCTCCAATTTTACCTACACTAACTTGCATACTAGTAATTAATTATGCAGGTGGCATTTTCAGACTTTTTTCCAGCCCTTGTATTTTCTGAAATTTCAAAACTTAAGTGAATTTCAATTGTAATTTATTCCTTTTTACTGTATACTGGTAGGGAAGATGATTTTGCAGTCACATTTTACAAACTGTTAATTGAGTACAGAATGATTCATGTCTAGTAACTGTCTAACAGCTGCGGGTCATTTGAATGCATGGTTCTGCTACTGAAGAAAGGTGCTGATGTCAACTACCAGGACATGTCGGGCTGCACGGCTCTGCACCTGGCTGCCAGGAATGGGTGAGTGTTCTCACATTGACCTGTATCAGACATGTGAGGCTGTATAGCTGTGCACCTGGCTGCTAGGAATGGGTGAGTGTCCTCACATAAAACCTGTGTCAGATGTGTGAGGCTGTACAGCTGTGCACCTGGCTGCCAGGAATGGGTGAGTGTCCTCACATAAAACCTGTGTCAGACGTGTGAGGCTGTACAGCTGTGCACCTGGCTGCCAGGAATGGGTGAGTGTCCTCACATAAAACCTGTTTCAGACGTGTGAGGCTGTACAGCTGTGCACCTGGCTGCCAGGAATGGGTTAGTGTTCTCACATAAAACCTGTGTCAGACGTGTGAGGCTGTGCACCCTTCTGATTGGTGGATTGTCTTAAGTTACAGGCATTCTGATTAGTCGATTCATGATAGTGCTTCTATTGGGCACTGGAGCTGATGAGAGATTTTAACTGTGCTCATTGTACTGAACTGCTAAGTCACGATCATGCTATAAGCAAGAGGGTTAAGGCGTCATAATGGAAACCTGAAACTTTTGGCTTAGGTTGCCCAGTGTGCAACCTGAGGAAAAGCAATTTTGAACCCTGCCCAGTGTTACAGTTGTTGAATACATGTTGTACTTACATGTTTATGTAATTGAGATTTGAAATTTTCATTTTTCAGTCAGAAGAAGTGTCTTGCCAAGCTCCTAGAATACAATGCAGATGTCAACATACGCAACAACGAAGGCCTAACCACGGTCAGTCTTTGTCTAATAACATCTGATAGCCGAAAAATTAATCAAAAAAATTTTTTTTGAAGTCCAGAAACAATATGATTATACATGTAATTTTCATTCAAAGCGGAACAGAAGCAGTGGCTGATTTTATTAGACTCACTTAGTTCCCCGATTCCTTACGTCTTCAAAATAGTTGAGTAATGCAAGCCTGTGATTTTTTATCCTAATTGATGATACTTTTAGGAATTAAACATGCACGCTTCTTCATCATAGTATTCTGGTATTGCTGATACACACACTTCAAAATTTTGTAATTAGTCCGCTGTATTCATTGATGAATGCACTGTTGTAATCCGTTGGATAATAACACCCTTTTCCTGACTATATTATGTGTTAGTCTCCACCAGACTCCCTTGCAGGCTGGCCGACTAACTCCCCTGGCCAGCTACATTCTTTTTTACGATCATTCTGTACTATTTAGTCTGGCAGACTAACTCCCCTGCAGGCTTCAAAATTAACTTTTCTTCCTATTGTCCCTGGCAGCACTGTCCCGAAAATAAATTTCAATTGTCCCAAATTGAGGATGAACTTTCCCAACCTGACTTTTGGATTTGAGGGGACTTTCCCAAGCCAAAAGCCAGGATGTGTGCCTGATAAACAAAAGAAGGGCTGACATTCGAATTCTGCACTGTTGATTTTTTTTCTGTTGTCCCAAAAATGTCCCAAAGTGTCTTTAAGTTGTCCCGGCCAAAATTTTAGTGGTCAGTGGCCATCAGGACACCATTAATTTCAAGCCCTGCCCTGGCCAGCTACAATATCGTTTTTATGATATTCTGTACTAATAGTCAGCCTGCAAAGGAGTCTGGTGGAGACTATAATTATTTCTGTTGCACCTCTTATGTAAGATGTTTTTTTAGCTTTAATTATCATATAGTATATTACTTAATATCAATTTTCAATCTTGTCTTGAATGTTAAAGCTTTCCTTTGTGTAATCTGTAGATCCACTGGCTGGCAGTGAATGGTCGGACAGAGCTCCTACATGACCTGCTGCAGCATGTGGAGAATGTGGACGTGGAGGTGGGAGACAGGAAACAGAATGTGGATGTGGAGGTTAGTGTACTCCGTACATTTACACGGAGTGTACAATGTACATTTAATGTCACTCTTTATTAGAACCATTATTAACTCTCAGTGGTTATACAGCCAGTTTCTACGAACCAATCCATCGGGTCAAAATTGTAACCGCAGGCGATTCTATGACCAAAGGAAACTAGCTACTGGACAGTTATTTTCTTCCTATACCAGGTCCTATTGCACAATGTTGAGAGTGTTGAAATGGCACTGTACAGTATCAGTTACACACCTCAGTAACCACTTCACTACCTATATACTCTCTTGTCCGCTAGAGTACTCAAAGAGATTTATCCCTCTACTAGTGCTAGTTGTCCCCTTCCAATGTAATAGTGAAATATTGTGTACAGGAGACATTTGACTGTCACATTCTTTTGTGTTTTTCCCATTCAGGATGCACAAGGCCAGACTGCACTTCATGTGGCATGCCAAAATGGACATAAGTCAGTAAGTTACAAGCTCTGAAACATATACTGTACATTCGCTCTCTCTTCTACTATTATGAAAACTACAATGTACATGACATGTTACCTTGACTCTAGCTTAAGAACATCTTCTTAGTCACCACTGTGAAGACATCTGTTACAAAATATTATGTGCAACATAGATTTTTCTTCATGTTTCAGTATACTAAAGTACGTTATGTCATAATCCATTCATTAGGTCAGGATGTTAAACCCTGGTCTACTGTTTATTGTACTTAAAAAGAGCTACATGTTGGGGATTTTACCTGGTACAACGAACCTGCATATACTGTACCTGTTTCTCTGTCACAAGTAGAAGAAAATTAGTAACATTCATAGAGTTCTTGAGAGCTAAACTAATTTCATGCTTGTTTAAAGTTGAAACTTTTGGTCCAACACAAAAAAGTTCTCTCACCTAGAGCTTTTATCCAGTCACCCTGGTCTTCCTCAGTAGACTGACCCAGTGAAGCTTGTCACGTGGCTTCTTTCTTTGAAGTGTGACGACAACACTGGGTCAAAGGTATCTGGTAGACGATGTCGGCCCCCGTCAGGGTGATGGGTCAGTCTACTGAGTGGCTGGTCGAAAGCTCTAGGTGAGAGAACTTTTTTCTGTTGGACCAAAAGTTTTAACTTTAAACATGTAACTACCACACAACTTTCATGATAATTTCATGCTTCCTTTCCCAACCTTGCAGACAGTTCTGTGCCTGTTGGACAATGGTGCAGACATTAACAGACCCAACGTGACAGGAGCAACACCTCTGTCATTTGCCTGCAGGTAATTAAGGGACAACAGTGGACTACAGTTGTATCAAACTTCATTATGGAATGTACCAACACACTCATGTGCTTTCATGCTAAAAGAAAGAAACATAAGTGTTCACTTTGATTTCACAAACCTGTCCAGCAATCTGCCTTGGTCACAACCCACCGTACGTGCTTCTGCGTGCTGTCTACGTGCAAAAACGTGGGCAAACGCAGGGCATCTGTGCTTGGTGAGTACCGCCTTCGTACGGAATCCTACGGATTTGGGAGCACGCAGACACGCCAGAGAACTTTAAGTGCATGTAAAACTTTTTCTATGTGCGGTCTACGGATTCACCACCCGTACATGCGAGTACAGGCGACGCGCGTGCCCCGTACGTACCGTACGTAAGAAGCACGTGTGAGTACGGCCTTCTTATGGTAAAGTTGCAATTGCACAGAGATCGTACGTTGTAAGCACGTACAACTCACCACTTGCGCAACGTATGATGCATTGCAACCGCTCACGGCGAGACTTGGCGTGCAGACCACACTCTTACACTTTGCGCAAACGTGCAAGTGACATGCGAGTGACGTGCGTAGACGCCACTCCTTCCCCATGCGCGTTTTCAGAAAAAACTTAGCAGACGTAGCCTCCCAAAAAATGTACGGAGAAAAAGCATGTACGGCGGGTTGTGACCAGGGCTTAAGATAATGTGTTTGTGACAGTTGTACACTAGTTGTGCTGTCTCTCTGTTCCCCAGTCATGGCCAGAGAGATACAGCACAGATCCTGCTGTCCAGAGGAGCCAAGTACCTGGGGGACAGCAACGGCTGTGCACCGCTAGAACTGGCTGTGCAGGTCTGGTCATTTACATTCTGTCAACCGCATATCAATCACAGTTATATAATATCGGACATCTCGCACACCACAGTGATCCTTCAGTAAGGAGCCACATACATGTAGTTCCTGTTTAGTTCTCTTTTATTCAGCCTGTTATAATTTTTTTGCCTCAGACTGTAAACTGGAAGAAGCAAAACTGGTCGTAACAGGCTGAGTGTAAATTGTATAAATGTCAACCATTCAATGGCATGTAATACTACTACAATGTATGTGTTCCAAATTTCTTACTGAGGGATGACTGTGGTGTGTCATATGCCCTTTTCATGGGCTCTTTACCATTTGTGACAAGGCGTTATTTGTATGGCAGCACCCATTGCACATTACAAACATCTGACATAGATTGGAGCTGTCCAAGTGCTGAATCAATGGTTATTGTGTGCTGTTGCCGGAAATATGATATTGGAATCAGGAATGGGGTATGCTGGAATTCCTGTTAACTACAAATTATGATAAAGAGAGAAATAACATTGTTCAAACCCTTTCATGTCTTCTTTTTTCGATCTTAGGCCACATCATCTTAATTTGTTGGTTCTAGGATTTTTTCAGAAAAAAACATAACAGGGCGAAAAAAAAGGATAAAAACAGACCAAGGCATCCTATGATAGCCCCAAATGGCATTATCATGAGGAGGGAGCCATGAAGTCAACATATGAGGCTGGTTTGTAACTCAAATGCTAAATTTCAAACATTTAATCAAACCACTGCATTCATAGATGGGAAAACTGTAACAACTCTGAAGAGAAGGGACCTTCTTTAACTGTTGGGACTAAAAGATGAGCATTTTGGAGTTGATTCAGAGGCTGAAATGTTGTTTTTTTTTGCAAATCAGAAAATGAAGCAGGCGAATCCGTGAACCAACAAATTGAATTGCTCTGGCCTTATCAAACAAGTGCTTTGGATGTACTACAGTAAGGCCACACCAAGTAAATTTTTTGCCTGTTCCTTGAAAAAAAAACAAGAAATTACGCTTCCTGTAACTATGACCAAAGAGTCACGACAGTGCCGCAAATAGGTTTGTACGGACCAAAGCTTAATTTATGAAGCATCAAGCAAGGAAATCATGACTTCCATTAGGAATTTAGTTTGGTACATGCTGCCACATGTGAAGAAACTTGCTGACCGCTCCATCTATCTCCCCAAAGCAAAAGACGACAACTGCTGTTCCACCTGATTTATTGCTGTTTTGATGATGAATAAAAGACTTCTTGCTTGTTACACTGTGTCACCTCATTCAATTTGTGTCCTAACATTTGTCGTCTCTTAGTATATTTCTAATCTAGGCATCTTTTGTAGGGCCCTTCTTGTTTTGTTTTTTTTCGCCCTCTCGCATTAGATTTAGGGGCTCCAAAGGACGTCATCCATAAAATTTACTTGGTGTGGCCTAACTGTGTAATTGTGTTGTATGCCTTACAGGGAGGTTACAGTGAAACATGTGAAGTCTTGCTGCAGCACATCCCCAGACTGTTTGAACCATTAATGCAGATGACTCTCAACACCAACATTAAAGAAGCCATGGTATGTCTCCTCTCTACATTGGTATCACTTGAGAGTGGATATTATTCAATAGAGATGTGCACGTGTGTTTAATTAAAGTTGAAACTTTTGGTCCAACACAAAAAGTTCTCTCACCTAGAGCTTTCGACCAGTCACTTTGGTCTTCTTCAGTAGACACCCAGTGAAGCTTGTCACGTAGCTTCTTTGAAAAGTGACGTCAACACTGGGTCAAAGGTACAAACTGTATCTGGTGGAGGATGTCGGCCCCCGTAGCGGTTAAGTAAAGGGTGATGGTGATGTAAATGAGATAGAGATACATTGATGTCATTTAAAAACATCCAATACAACTTCCAGGTAGTAAAATTGGACTTTCCAAGTCACCTCTCTGGTCATCTTTTTAGTAAGTTGAATCAATCCTATCCCATGGCATACTGATATCTGTGAGGTAAAAATGATGTCACTGAATCAGATGGAAAACAGTTGTATCATGGTATGCTGGTTCTAGCTATTTACACATGTATTGGTGGTACCCAAAAAGAAAGTTATGCCAGCCCTGAAATTTCAAAACCTTCAAGAATGAAATGATGACAAAATATGCTAAGGAATGGCAGTAACATCCGTGTCCATAATATCACCATGGTCCATAATATCGCCACCTTGAGAAATAGTGTGCTTAAAGATATTTTTACTGCAACATACCCTAGGTATGTACATTTGATGTGTGAAGGAGTGCATACCAAAAGTATGTTGCAGTAAAAATATCTTTAAGCACACTGTTTCTCAAGGTGGCGATATTATGGACCCTGGTGATATTATGGACACAGATGTTAAATGTCAACATCAGATAGATTTTTTCATCCAGAATATTTTTTTTCTTTTGCTGCCCTGAAATTGCATTGTATGCCTTTAAAGTACATTCTAACTTGAAATTCTTATTTTGTTGCCTCCACAGTTGTTCAAAGTGCTGGCTTTTATTTGCCAGAGTTCTGTGTCCCAACATCACATGATCCTGGTCAGTGTAGCAGAGCTGGCGTCAGCCGCTGGACACAGACTGCTCAGGTCAGATTCTTGTTGGCGTTTCCTCATTTTGCATCATTTTCGGTAAAACATACTGTGCGTGCGCTAAAGCTGTAACGTTAGATGTTTTGCGCATAGCACTTCTGGTACAATGTCTCGTTTATGGTCATATTTGCATATTTGTTTATTTGTTAATTTGTTTATTAGAATTCACCACAAGTACAAGCATACAAGTGGAAGGGAGGACAAAACAGGTGTATTGACACCTTTACAAGTTGTCCTCCCAAACACAACAATATAATACAGAGTACAAATTACAATGTCGAACAACTGGTGACATGAAATACAAATTCCTACAATAACATACAATAGTCATAAAGATACAATACAATACACTGCCAAAAATATCATTCATAATATACAATTGTAATAATATTAGAAACTAGTTAGAATACTAATAAGGCCTTAAAGCTGTACAGGAGGCACACCCACAAGATATTCAAGGACAACGTTCCATCTGTAGTTTTCAAATCTTGTGTTGGAAAAGATTTTGTCTGCAACTGGAAAAAGTCTGATGCAACGTTCAGACAAAACATCCAATAAACAGTAAAAAGTTTTGTGCAGGCACTGTACGTTTTGCCAAGTTGAACGTGCTCATAACCAGTTATAACCACCTTGAGGTGGTGGAAGTACAGTTGGAGCACACTCAATAGATATCTTTACTCAATTTTAATGCTTGAATTGATATGTATGGCACCTCTTGCACATTGCAAACATGTACTTCACAATAAAGACTCTACTTTGACAGAGATTGGTGCTGTCCAGGTGCTGAATCAATGGTTATTGTGTGCTGTCGCTTTCACTCTAGAAATGATATTGGAAATGGGATGGGGGTACACTAGAATTACTGTAAACAATTAAGAGAGAAATAATTAATTCATAATTAATTAACAACACATCTATTGAATGTTTCCCTACTGTATTTAGTGGCCACTCTACAATAGTTGCAGAAAAAAAATGAAACAAAACATTTTTTTAACACCTTCATAACTCTTTAGTCTATTTTTCTTTTTTTCTTACAGTGTGTCCAGTAACTATGAGGACCAGGTTGTTAGTTTCCTGCGCTGTGTGAAGATGCTGTGTCGGCTGTACCGGCTGGCCCCGTGTGAACACAGCGCGAAGGACAGCTACACAGCATCCAGGAATACTGTTCCAATGGCAACTGTCTTTCGGGTGAGTAACTAACAGTTGGCATCTTTAAGATTGGCTGCTCTTTCTTCATGATCAGACAGCTCTATTTTGCAATACAGCCCTATGTTGGTATATATATATATATATATATTATATATATATGTTCTATTTTACATGTATAACCCTATATTCTAAAGGGTTAGGGTTGTCAAAACATATATGGGTGTTGGAATGTATTTGTATCAGAACATACCGTACAGATCTAAAATGTCATCTGCACAAGTGGAAATCATGATGAATATTGTGCAAAACATGATCAAAAAGTGTGCATTTCTCAATTGAAGTATATGCAAATCTTTTAACTTTTCTTTTTTATAAATCATGTTTATTTCTTAATATGTAAAATGTGTGTACATGCAGATATCTGTGTAATGCTGTGTGGTTCTGTGTTTTGGTTCTGTTTAGATAAGTAACCACACACAATCACAACTAATTAGACTATAAGTGAACACTTTTGCACAAGTTTTGTCCACATGTTACACAGCTTTAACACGACTTTATATCAAGATTTACACTAATATGTATGAACATGATAATGTATACAATGATAACATGTTGGAAAGGGATTGTAATTGATGATGAAATTAATATAGAGTACAATTTCACATCAACAATTCACATCATTTCTATGTACGGATCATGCCATCAAAATTGTACTATTTTTACATTATTGTGAAAGTAGGAAACTTTAAATACCAACCTGTCCTCCCCATGTAGCCACTAGAACTGCTCTGGAAGTCCCTGGAGGAATGGCTGCTCCTGATTGGTTCGGAGCTGAACAGGGCCAAGACAGCGCCCAGTAAGTGCAGTAAAGGTCTGGGTGAGGAGGACAGCCTACAGGACACTGATGAGATCGCTACAGCACTCATCGCTGACAGACTGTCACTTCACGAGGTCAGTCAGTAATCATCTTCATCAAGTATCACCGTGGATTCGCCTCATTTTTTTCTGATTTGCAAAAAAAAAAAGATTCTGGTTCTGAATCAACTCAAAATTGCTTATATTTTGCCACCAACCGTTGAGGAAAGTCTTATTCTTCCTAGTTGTAAAAGTTTTTTTCCATCCATTTATCGATGCAGTGGTTTGATTAAAACTTGAAAATTCATTGTCAAAATTCATTCATTAACCCAGCCTTTTGTGTTGACTTCATGTCTCCTATCATTGTATTTTTGGCTATAACAATACCTAGACCTGTTTTTTTTCTCCCTGTCGCTTCATATTTTTTATGAAAAAATCCAAGATCCAACAAATTAAATTGGTGTGGCCTTATTAATGATAAGATGAATGCCAAGAGCTATTCGATACTTTACAATTAGACAAGATATGTAAGAAAATGTCAAAGCAGGACATGTTTAAACACTTGATGTCATACAAGAACGAATGTACAGTAGACAAACAAATAGTATGTATTTATGTTTCCAAATGTTTCAAAAAGAGAGAAGAGAGGGCAACTAACAGTAGATGATAGGTAGTTTATAGTATTATTGTAATGTATAGATTCCTAGCACTTTGCATTAGAATATAGCGTACCAGTATGGAATATTCAATGACATGTTTTACATACTGGATATCCTCTTGTGCATTTAGCCCATCTGGGCAAGAACATGCAATAAAGATGCATATCATTATCATATCATATTATTAATTGCCCATGGTGTTGTTTGCTAGGATGACCTGCCAGGAGAGATGACCTTGAGCTCGTCTCTCCAGAGTTTGACCTTGGGAGGATCAGGAGAACTGAAGGATCACATCGTGGAGGAGGAGGATGAAGCTGAGACAACAGTCCCTCCCCAGGACGGCAAGTCAGACACATCTACTGACCAGTCAGCCGGCAGACCGGGGACAGTGGAGGCAGCAGGGGCTGACCAGGAGGTCAAGTTGTCTGGAACTGACTCCCAACAGTCAGATTCTGTACAAGGTACATTTATTTGAATGCAAGCTCATCTGTGTTCGCGGTAGAATCCATAGTTATAGAGTCGAAGCTTGTTCCAACACAAGGAAAGAACTCACCATAAATTTTTGGTTGATCTCGTCAACCTTCGTCAGATGTGTGGTGCAATCTCTGACTTTCCGGAAGTCAGTTATGACGTCAGGAGTGCATCAAAAGTGGCGGGAACAAGGAACAGTTATAGGCTCTTACCTGTAAATACATTAACTGTTATAGTAAGGCTCTAGTCAGGTCAAAATTTTTCCTGTCAGCCCAGATTTATGATTGGAGCCAGGGGGAGTGCCGATGGTGGTCACAATGAAGGGGGGTCCAAGGGGCATGCCTCTCAGGAAATTTAGAATTTTAAGCAATTTTTTCACACATTTTGAGAGGCAAATTATGAGGTTGAGAGTGGTAGTCGGTGGTCTTTTGAATGTTTTTATGTCTTTACCCAGGATTTTTTTTATTTTATCATGCAGGATGACTTTTCGTTTTAAAAAAGTTCCATCACACATCACAAAGGTCCAGTAATTGACAGAAAAACAGCTCTGGCTAAAGCCCTGAGTCATATACATGTATGATATTGGAGGTTTTTTTTATACAACCAGCTTGCTAATGTTTGGATGTCTATCAGACACCTTCCTCAGAGCTTTTGACTTGAGTACAGCTACTCATTGTCATATGTAGCCGATGTAGTTGGCACTTCAATTTTTGCACCGAAATCCCATTCCCAAATGTGGATAAGTTTGTTTGTTTGTTTGTTTCGCATAACCGTTAAACCATCTTTAGGCGTAACACACCAGTTTAATTTGAATGTACATGTACGCACATGTACAAGCTGCGTAAGACCGGACTGTAAGGTTTGAACCACTCACACCGGGAAGGTCCCCTACTCTTTTCGATAAGTGCTATGGGTTCTTTAACATGCGTGGGGTGTAGCTCTCCCAAACACGGGACCTCCACTTAACATCCTATCCGAGGGACGTCCCTAACCGAAGCTAGGTAGCACGTCAGCAGAACGTACTGTGCCTGCGTGAAACCCTGATTTTTCACGGTTTTCGTTGAATATTTGGTCAACATTGCATCAGAATTTTGCCTGTTGCAGACGATATCTTTTCCGACATAACATTTGGAAGCTACAGATGGGATGTTAACCTTATATACGCGAATACAACCTTATATGAGACGTTCTGCCGAAGTGCTATGTACGGTACATTATGTGTTTCGCGCAGGTGCAGTACATTCTACCAAGTTGAACGTACTAAGCTAGGTACTCATTTCCACCTGACGAAAATTTAATTTGTATCCCCCATTGTCTCGGTTTATCACTGGGGTTGACTTTCTTATCTACACATGTACAGGTGGAGTCCTGTTCAACACAAGCTCACACGACATTCAAGGACACCATTCCACGGCCGTGAGAGGTCACCGGAGGTCACGGTCGCGTACGTACAGCAGCTCCAGCAGCCGGGGCACCAGTCCGCCCGGCTCGACCTCGCGGTCCCACAGCGCGCAGGACGTGGTGGCAGCGTGTGCTGACAGGGTGTGTGCCGTCATACAGGCCTTCTACAACTGCTGCTCATGCCACACACCTCAGGGGTAGGGTCTGATCCCTCAGCTTTTATGATTTTTAAATATGATTGATTATGAGAAATGTAACATTTGCAAAGCAAATGCATAATGTTTACCTTGCATATGGTCCGCTCTGTTAATTCTTACTCAAGCACATTCACACAATGTATAATATGGTCAGACAGGAGTCTAAATTCCTCCTGCTATGAAAAATGCAACATGATGTAACCCGACACTAGTTACCATGATGGCAACAGACAGTCTGATCAAGTCTCCTGGTCTCCTTTTTGGTTTGAAGGAGAAGAAGAAAAAACAGAGCAAAAACAAAATGTTTTCCATCGGTAAACATGATAATTTATTATACTATTACTTTTGTATTAGTCATTATAATTAATATGATATGTCATGTACTTCTGTGTAAAGCCCATCACACATACATGTACATGTAGCCAAATGTGGCTTCCCAAATACTGCCAAACTCCAACCAAACCATGGTTAGGAGTTGCTCAGGAGCAAGGTCAGCTGTGTACATTATAGTTGGCTGATGTTCGGCAAGGTCAGCTACTGTTCTGCTACACCAGCGGAATGTTTCAAAATGTTTAAAACATTTGGATGTGGATGGGAGGTTTGAACATGGTTTGCCTCCTGTTCAGGAGTGTTGACAGCCACTCCACGGAGTAGGGCGAGTCCAATGGTGTTAGTTCTTAGTCCAGGAGTAGGTCAGCAGTGGTTGGGGCATAATCGGCAGTCAAATGTGACTCAAATGTAATTCAGACTTGATTTGATTCATAATTATCAAAAGATATAGGCATGTCCTAAATCTGGTCAGACTGCTCCTAAACTTTAGCCAACCTTGGTTGGTTGGTTGGAGTTCAGGGGAATGTTCAGAATGTGTGACAGGGGCTTAATATTAAGCTTTTATAATGGATTTTTGTTTTTTGTTTTGATTCCAGTATGACGTCTCCCCGGTTCATAGAGTTTGTGGTCAGGCATGACGCTGTTCTGAAGTTCCTGGTAACAAGGTAGGGGACATTACACTGGGTAAAGAAGAGTGTTCACAGTTGAAAAACAAATATTACTGGTCAGTTACCAACTGTATTGAAATTTAGGAATAGATTTACATGCATTGTATCTCCAGGAGTGGCAAGAAATTTTTATAATTATAATAAATGTTTGTTGTTCCCTTCTGATGATTTTAAACTTTGAACCTTCCGCTTCTGTATAACGGTGCTTTACCTGTTCCCATCCTGCAGAAATCCTAAGATCATCTTTGACCATTTCCACTTCCTACTGGAATGTCCAGAACTCATGTCCAGATTCATGCACATCATTAAGGCACAGGTAAGTTCAAGGTCAGGGAAAATCCAGATAACACTTCAGTTATCTGTAGTACTGTTATAACTGATTGTATATCACATGACTGTATGTATTATATAAACTACATGTACATTGTACTTTGTATATTGTAATAGAATGCCCAGATTATACCCCTGGCAATGAATAACAATGTGACAGTTCATTGACATCATATTTATAATTTGTTTTAAGCTAGTAATACATGAAACTCACATACAACTTTTAATTAGTAATTATCATCTTTTATGCAGATGAAAATTACACTTTCAATATTCCTGTCTACCAAAAGTGCATTTTTGATACTTGTCAAATTTTATTAATATTTAAACTCATATTAAGACATAAGAAACCTTTATTAGCATTGACAGAATTTGCAAAAGTCTGAATTATTGCTAATTTACAAATACAATAAATCACAATATCATGGAAGACTAAAAACCTTAAGAGAAAACATTCATATAATTATGTTGTCATTCAGTTACATTACTAGTTTTTATGATTACAAATGTTCAATTTTTAAAATCAAAAAATATACATAGAATACATAGTTACAAATTACCGGTTTAGAGATTTATTATATAGAAATGTTGACTAGTGCTGCATACCGGTTCACTGGACTAGTAAAAATGTTAAGGTTCAATAATATTATTCCAAAAAAACCTAAAAGTCAAGAACCGAGTCCGGACTTATTACCATAAAAGACCATTTCACATACCCCTTTTCTTTCCAAACCACCTAAAACCTTCCATAGATTGCAAAATCTTTGCTGCAAAATGAAGAAAATATTGCCACCGGGCATCATCAAGCACCGCCCTCCATATTATGTGGTCACAGTTTCACCCAGACAGCATTGCAAGGTTGCCAACATGCAGTTTTGTATATGCCATGGGTTTAGGTCCGGACTTGTAAAGAACCTAAACCTCTGGACTTGAATCCGGACCTGAACCTAAATGTGGGTTTAGGTATGCATCACTAATGTTGACTGGTATAGGAAGGATTGACTCAGTCTCTCAGTTCAGCATTTAGGCAGTGATCGATGAGAGGTGGTTGACTTTTTCTGAGTGTCCTTTCTGTTACTTCCTTCCTGTCACTATGATCCAGGATTTGATTATTCTGCTGCTTTTGTCCCTGTCACAGTTTTTATTATAGTATAATAATTATGTTTTCTTAGTAAAAGGTTGAACTTTATTCCAACACACAATTGTACAGGGATCAAATTTTCAGCGACCACTGTCACCTTCATCAGGATAATTAATGACCAATCACTTCACAACGTGAACTCGCGAGAATTACGGTTTACTAACACGTGACCTTATTCACACGAGATTTTACTGATACGTGACGTAAGAAATTGATCAAAAGTGTCAGGGAGTTTATATCGTCCACCATCTCTATTAAGTGAAGGCTGAAGTACTCTGATATATACATGACAGTAAATTGTATGGCCTCCTTAATGCCTCTTAAAAAGTAGTCCTGTTCAGTGTCCAGTATTCTCACTTTGTCCAAAGAGACGGAGTGGCCCGGTGGTATTATGTTTTCTCATGACTTAGCTTATTTTATTTTATTTTAATTTGATTGTAACGATACAATACACTGGCCACCCAGGCAGCATAGCTGATTTCGGGCGCCAAACAATACTGTAACAAAGATTAAACATACACAATATAACATACTAATACAGTAAACTAACAAGTATAAGGTTAAGCTAAAATCAATCAGTTAACAATATAAAAATACAACAGACTTAAGTACCAAGCATAATAAAGTACTCAATCAAGATAATCATGATTTACATAGATGGCCAAACCTTTGCATACTGGATAGAACATAACTTGTGTTTTCCATGATTTCTAGGACTTCACTGCCCGTCGAGAGTGGTTTTATGAGAACCTCCACCCTCAGACAGGAGACAGAGACCTGGTACACAGGCCGCCCAGTGAGGATGACGTACTGCTTATAAACAGAGGTTGGCTTAATATACATTGTGAAGATAACTAAGAGTAAATGACCCACCTTGAGGTGTATATGTTGTGATAATGCCTTGTCAGTTGCTACATGTATATATAACCACTTATGATTAAAACCACCAAGTGAGTGTAGTGAAATGTATTCAAATTGAAATTTTCAATTTCACAACTGTGTTACAGTTACTGTTTAATGTACTAACTTTTTATCATATAGCTGGGTGACGTTGACCAATCAGAAGGCTTCATTCCACATTCCTTATGACGCCGTAATGTCACAAATAGAGTCAAACTTGGGACATCCCAATCCATACATTAATTCAATAATCACCCTCATATGACCTCGGGTGACCCGAAAAGAACACGATTCTGTTCAAAAACATAACTTATGTTTCAATGACGTGGAGTGACTCCCATAAGAACAACTGCTCCCTGCCAATGACCCAAATAGAACACGACCCTTCCCCTGTGTCCTCAGGTGACTCCATATGGAACATATGTTCTATTTATATTTCAGTCCATACCATGGTATGGATGAAATATATTGTGTTCTCTCATGTTTCTTCTCCTCCTTCTTCTTCTTCTTCTCCTCCTCCTCCTCCTGCCAAACAGTCAAACGGATTCAACTCCGCCATCATTCACCTAAATGACTTGAAATTTGGCACGGAGGTAGAGTGGGCCAATACCCCCAGGCGTTTTTTTCATTTTTTTGATACATGCCTTTGAAAAATTTTTATGAAGGTTTTTTGGGGCATTTTTCGCCAAAAAATGGATTTTTGGATCCTGAGCCCTGGTTTTACAACCAAATGATCTGAAATTCGGTATAAGGGTACCTTGAACATGTGTCTACAGAATAGCAGTCACATATTTGGCATAAACCACTTCCAAATGACTCATTTGGGGGACTTTAATGGCTATTTTCAGCAAAAAAAGGGCCAAAAGTGCTATATATACCCGTTCCATGTTCTATCTAAAGAATGTCCCGTTCCATCTGCCTTGGCCATGGAACATGTGTTCCATTGCGGGTTACCTGAGGTCACATTGCACGTAAGTTGTGTGTAATGACCCACACATTCAATTTTATGTGCCTAAGACCTTCAAAATGTATCAAATCTCATCATTGTTAGTATTTGCATACCTGTAATAAGATTAGTAAAGCTTTCGAGATTCAATGTGCTTGTTCTTGCATCTTTGTTCTCAATTACATAGCTACTAATATTTAATTCATTTATTTGAGAATCTTTGCCAGTTTTACACTGGGGTAAGTTTGGAATAGTCCACTTTTGCGTGGGCGGGAGATGGACTGAAATATGCTGTATTTGCTCCCAAACAAATGTCGGCCTCTCTAGTTTATGTTATTTTATTATCATTGCTCTGATCATACATCAAGTATTTTGATTTTTGTCCACCCTAGAACAAGTGTTTGACAGCAGCTGTAAGATTGTTACCAAGATGAACAGTGAGAAACTCAAGGAGAACATTGCAGTCAAGTTCAGTGGGGAGGAGGGAATGGTAAGTGAAGTTATATGAGGTATTTTAGGCCACACCAATTTAATTTATTGGTTAACGGATTTTTCTAAAAAAATAATGGAGCGGGCAGGCGAAAAAAATATAAAAACAGGCCTGGGCATCCTATTATGGCCCAAAATGGTACGATAGGAGCCATGAAGTCAACACACCAGGCTGCTTCAAAATTTAAACAATGAATTTTGAACATTTAATGAAACCACTGCATTGAAATATGGAATAACTGTAACAACTATGAAGAAAAGGACTGTTCAACTGTTCAGGGCAAAATATGAGCATTTTGCAGTTGATTCTGAACCAGAATCTTTTTTTTTAAGTGCAAATCAGAAAAAAATGAAGCGGGCAAATCCGTTAACCAAGAAATTAAATTGGTGTGGCCTTATAACAGCTTTCTTGACATATGTGATATTTTGGACTAGTAGTGTGTCACACATCGAGTGATGTGTTATATTGTCTACATTTGTACTTCAGGATATTGTTAGTAGGGTCTGGGTAAATTATTTTAAAATCTTTCATCTTGGTCTTCTCCCCCTTCAAATTCTAAAGTTCAAAATTTTAAGTTTACCGGTATCTTATCTTGTATATCCAGTCCTGACTGATAATAATAAATGTGTGTTTCAGGGTCAGGGAGTGGTGAGAGAGTGGTTTGACATCCTGTCCAAAGAGATTCTCAACCCAGACTACGCACTCTTCACCATGTCTGCTGATGGTTGGTCAGCAATTATCATTCTGTCAGTGTTGTTGAAAGAGTTTAGTAATTAGTAAAAAATACATGGTGTAAAGGGGAGCTAAACTTAAAATTGAAAAGCATGTATTACAACTTAGCAATGTACACTGATGAATATACCCCAAAGTCAAGATCTTACTATTCTTTCCTGCTTTACTTGTATAATGTCATTCAGTTGATCATAGTTCTGTAGTAGTAGAAGTGTAGAATTTTTCCCACCATTTGAAACTCCCTTTAAGGTACTAATAGCAAGAGTTATCCATCACCATTTCAGGAGTTGCTCTAGCTGATGCTTTCATCATAGTCAAATGACATCTGTTTGCATTACTGTAGCTTGCTGCAAGGTGGTACTTTAAAAAGTATGCTGCTGCAGTTCTACATGCAGGCCTCGTAATTAATGTTGTCCCAAAGGCCACCGATCACCAAAATTTAGACTGGGACAATGAAAAAAACACTTTGGTGCATTTTTGGGACAATAGAAACTTAACATCAGAATGTCAGCCCTTCTTTTGTTTATCAGGATGCATCCTGGCTTTTGGATCTGGAAATTATAATCCTGAATTTCCTGTCTACTCTGCACCTGGGAGTGAACATGAGAAAAATAATGTTGACTTCAAGTTAAAGTCATACAATAATTCTCAAAAAAGAGATTGGGAAATTTCATCCTCACTTTGGAACAATTGAGATTTCGTCTGTAGTAAGACGACGTAGACTCGCCCTGGCAGGGCATGTTGTTCGTAGTAACGAACCAGCTGGTACATGTAGACTAGTACAATGGTATGTGCGTTTGCATGGAACATGGGTCGGAATTAGGACCTCTCCCATTACATGTAATAACTGACTACATGTATCTGTGTGTTACAGGTAGTACCTTCCAGCCCAACAGTAACTCAGCTGTGAACCCTGACCACCTGAACTACTTCAGATTTGCTGGAGGCATCATGGGCCTGGCTCTGTACCACAGACAGCTGCTGAATGTGTACTTCACTCGCTCCTTCTACAAACATATCCTAGGTAGGTGTCTTTCTACATGTATATCAGCTTCTTAGTGGTCTTTATTTCGATGTTCAGTTCAGTTCAGTTTATTTCGCACTTTGAAACAAAATGTAACAATACAAATATACAAGAATATATAAATGAAATGTAACAGTGCAGGGAGGCTGGAAGCATAAAATGCTTATGAGGAGGCCTCCCTTCATAACGTGATTGACAATTCAAATAAATCGGATAAATAGGAAATAACTTAGGTAACGGGTAAATGAAACAAAACAATAAAATACAATACGAATTACAATTATACTATCTACAATAATGAAAGTAGTAATGAAAGTAGTAAACAAGGAAACATGTCTAGTCAGTGAGGGTCCTAATAGAAAACAGTGTGCTGTAAGAACATTGCCACCCTGAATTTTGCAATAAATAATGATTGCCTGAGTGCAATTTAAAACAAATATTCTTTAGGATCTGAGTATAATACTTGCAGACATAACTAGGTTTGGTAGGTATGCTAAAAAAATATAAATCATAAAGATGACAGCCTCAGTTGTTGACCTAGCACATACACGAAGCCAAGCCAAGAAGAAGAAGATAAGTTTGACCAAAACTTTGTAATACGCTTTAACAATAGTGCTTATTCTCAAACTACATGTACTGCATGACATACGGCGGGATTGTACAGAAATCCCATCGTAAGTAAATTGTGCCATGTAACATCTGTGTCCATAATATCACCAGGGTCCATAATATCACCACCTTGAGAAACAGTGTGCTTAAAGATATTTTTACTGCAACATACTTTTGGTATGCACTCCTGCACACATCAAATGTACATACCTAGGGTATGTTGCAGTAAAAATATCTTTAAGCACACTATTTCTCAAGGTGGCGATATTATGGACCCTGGTGATATTACACTGTCAGACGTTACATGTACAAGTATGTGGATGTAGCTTTGTTTAAATGTTGGATTCAAATTTTTGTTCTCCAGGCATCCCTGTGAACTACCATGATGTCGCCTCTATTGACCCAGAATATGCAAAGAATTTACAGGTTTGTGTTATTTTTTTGTTTTGTACCATAGATTTGACAGAAGAACAGTTTCTTTATTATATCTAGTATTCAGCACACTAAACGAAATAAAGTCATTAAAGAAAGGCACTTACATTGTACATGTAGTAACAACCAGATAGGATTTTTATAGAACTTCATGCACTTGTGTCACTAGCCTCTGTACACTTGAAGAAGCCACACAGGCAAAACCGGTGTGTGACAGGCTGAATAAAAGTTCTAAACGGGAACTATGCGGCTCCAGATGTCTTACTGAGGGACGACTGCGTGTGCAAGATGTCGGTAGCTTGAGGAATGAATCCCCTCTATATATATACAACAACCAGATAGGACTTCATGAAGTTGGACTGTACAGTACAGAGATTTTGTACTTTGTGCTCAATTGATAATATTATATTAATTGACTTTTTTTCTCTCAGTGGATCCTGGACCATGACATCAGTGACCTTGGGCTTGAGTTGACCTTCTCAGTGGAGACGGACGTGTTTGGAGCGATGGAAGAAGTGGAGCTAAAACCTGATGGCAAAAACATCCAGGTTACAGAGGCTAACAAGGTCAGCAGTAGGAAATAATGGTTATATGCCACTAACTTACATGTACCTTTGGGACATGCCCATAGCCAGGGGGTTCGGAAGAACCCCCCCACAAGGCTCAAAGGTCCACTTTTTGTCCACTTTTTATCTAAAGGTCAAAGATTTTTCTTTAGATGGACTGATTCGTATCACCAGTGGGGCTGGAATCATATAAAAACTGCCTACTTTGTCATTGAATAAAAATTTAAGTTATCTCTGAATTTTTCTTTAAAATCCTCTCAAAAATGCAGGAAATGCCATTTCAGAAGGTTGATTTTTTCAAAATTTTCCGGGGGAGCATACCCCAGGACCCCCCTAGGAACCTCGTGCCTACGGCGCTCGATGGTCCCTCAGACACTGGAAACAACCTCCCCAGTCAAAATCCTGGCTACGGTAGTACGCTATGTAGAAGAACTGACTTATGAATCAAAATGTTGTTTGATGAGTTAATGATTATATCAGATTCACATTAATGTAAAAGGTAACATTATTAAGATTATGATACTGTCTATGATTACCCTTTTTTTAATCATAGAAGTTCATCTGTGTTGCTACTTAATAATCATACACAACACACAAGAATCAAATTTTGAACAACTTCATCTGAGCATAATGATTGACTAATCACTTCCGAATGTTAAACTTTGTAGAACTTTATTCATATAGGACCTTTAGTTATGGATAATGTAATAGGATGTCCTGATGAAGGCTAAAGTGATTGTTAAAATTTTTTTAGCCTTGTATTGGGATAAAGTTAAGCATGGCCCTGTGTTGGAATAAAATTAAGCATGGTACTATATAATGTATATTATTATATGTAATAACTGTATATGTTTTACATTCATCACGAAGTCTGTTAATTTCATGTTGTCTACTGTTTCAGGCTGAGTATGTCCAGCTGGTGACAGAACTGAGGATGACCCGGGCCATCCAGCCTCAGATCAACGCCTTCCTGCAGGGATTCCACGCCTTCATACCCTGTTCACTGGTGCAGCTGTTTGATGAGTATGAACTGGTAAGTACATCTAATGGCATGCCAATGTATAAGTGGTTGCCTTTAAAAAGAAACTCTCCGCATTTATGTACAACAAATTTTGCCAAACTTACAGTTTAGACCAACCTTGTACGTGGCAGTTATCTTGTGGTTGCGCTACTTGTCTGGCCACAAGACCGCGCTAACTGTGATATCACTGCTGGCTATATAACTGTTGTTATCTGTTGACTCAAATCAATAACTCTCACAATGTTTTTAGTTGATTTACCTTGTAGTTCTAAGTTTATTCATTTGTTTCTCAAATTGTATTACGTGATTTGATTACTTTTTGTATTGTTTTGTCATTTTATTGGTATGGCGGCTTTGAAAAGGGGTTTCATGTCAGAAACACCTGTTTCGCCATCCACATTGCATATTGTACGTGGTAAAACTTAATATATAAATAAATAAATAAAAGTCAGAGTCATTGAAAAGTCTGGTGTGACCATTACATTAGAATGGATACTTTGTCGTGTAGCATTTGTACACCATGGCACAATGGCCAATTTGAAAGTGGAAAATTAATTAACTTAAAGGCAAAGTCAAGAGCACATTTTCAATAGACCACATTTTAATTGATGTAAACCTAATTTGTAAAATTTTAAGCACTGAACAGATTAACAAAGAGTTGAACTATTTATGATCCTGTTAAGCGTCGGTCACAACCCCCCGTGTGTGCTTTTTGTCCATAGTTATTACATTTTATTTGGAGGCCACGTCTGCTGAAAACGTAGGGAAGGAGTGGCATCGACGCACGTCACTCGCACGGTTGCGCAAGGTGTAAGATTGTGGTCTGCCAGCCACGTCTGGTCGTGAGCGGTTGCATGCATCATTCGTTGTGCAAGTGTTAAGTGAGTCGTACGTGCTTACAACGTACGGTCTCTGTGCGATTGCAACTTTATCATAAGGAGGACTTACTAGTACTCACATATGCTGCTTACGTATGGTACAAGGCTGTATCTCCTATGTAGGCTGAGGCAGTTTCACCTACCAACACACGACTTGGTTACTGTTTACACGAGTTTCGTACGGCCGGTCCTGGAGTATGCAACACCCCTGTGGCACCCAGGCTTAACGTCCAGTCAATGGAGAAAGATAGAGAACATCCAAGTGCGGGCAACTAAGATCATCCTCGGCAACACCTTTCACAGCTACTCTGCAGCATGTGAAGCACTACAACTCCAGAAACTCGAAGACCGACGTGTCTCTCTGTGTCTAAAGTTTGCCCAGAAGCTGTACAAGTCTGAACAGTACAGACACTGGTTTCCTCGACTTCGGGGAGAGATCAGTGGGAGGGAAACAAGACAGAACAAAAAACTAGACCAATTGCCAGCACGCACAGCAAGATATGTGAAAAGCCCGTTGCCTTATCTCGTCCAGCTTTTATTAAACAGCACTCTGTAATGTAATCCTGTAATGTACATGCCGTTTTTTAATGAGGTTGGTATTTTAACTTTTAGTCTTGTATTGTAAAAATGTAATGATTATATTGTCACAATATGTTTTTATACAATGTACGGGACATGTAATTCAGCCTTCGGGCTGTGAGGTGTTTCAAATAAAACCCGCATTATTATTATACCCGCATTATTAAATGTACGTACGGGGCACGCGCGTCGCCCGTATGGGTGGTGGATCCACAGACCGCATGCAGAAAAAGTTGTACATCTACATGTATGTTGTGTGTGCGTGCTCCCAAATCCGTAGGATTCTGTACGGAGGTGATACTCACCACTTATGGATCTGTTACGTGTGCACGTAGACAGCATGCAGATGCACGTATGACGGGTTGTGACCGACGCTTATCTGATTGCAGTGCCCCTCCATGCAGACCCATTTGTGGGGATGATGGGAATGATGCCAAAGTTTTGAAGATTTGTTTTATTAATGTTTTAATTTCTAACTCTGAATATTTATTCTGATTGTTCTCTTTAGGAGCTGATGCTGTCAGGTCTACCTGAGGTAGATGTGGAGGATTTTGAGAGGAACACAGATTACAACAGTGGGTACACAGCTGACTGTCCTGTCATTAAGGTAGGCTGTATGCTGAGGTGACTTTCATGTATGAAGTAACTGTTACTGATATTTACAATTAGGCAAAAGCAAGTATTTTTTAAATGACATCATTGCACGCATTGTTTCAGGGAAAAAAATGAGAAATTTTGTTGCCCTTTGGCAGTGGTCAACATGCCGAGAATGGGAAAAATCGCATGCCTTGCCATACTGGAACGTGTATGGCAGATAAACATGCATGAAAAGAGGAGACAAGACGAGGCTCTGATTTATTGTTTTGATTCCTTTTATATCTTCCCACTGTCAAAACCAATGTACAATGATTGAAAACCTTTCTTTTTCAAAGTTGTTTCAGTGACAAATGGATGTTGTGATAGTTGGCAGTAAAGTAGGCACAATATGGGTACCATTTCTTGTTTAACAGGGTTGATGGTGTCAAAATTTGAAAATACAGGCTATCTTTTTTTTCGGACCCATCTTTTTTTTTCACCCTCTCACATTAGATTTGGAGTCTGCGGAGGATGCCATCCATAAAATTTACTTGTTGTGGCCTTATGTACAATGTACATTCAAATCGTACCTGGGACTTAGGTCCGATATGCATGTGTTTGTCATTTTTGTCAGTAGGCAAGATTATTTCAACATTTTAACTGAAGATTGATGCTTTTATCATTTCAGTGGTTCTGGGAGACGGTGAGGGATTTTCCCCAACAAGAAAGAGTGCTGCTGCTGCAGTTTGTAACAGGAAGGTAGGGGGCACTTGTGCCAAACTAACAAAAATCTTTGTTTCATGGATGACCAGCACACAGCACTGGGGTTTCATTAGAGTTTGGTACAATGTTGTACGTGTACATATAATATTTAGAACCTTTCCCAATGATGACACAAAGAAATGAAGCATTGTCTATTTGATCAATGAATGTATCCCCTAAAGCTTTCTAAAGAAATTTTGAAATTGTGCAAAAATTCCTAAGCCTGGACCAGTTTAGATTGTGTTTTAGAATCTCTTATGACAGAAACCCACAAAAGGACAATGAATTCATGATGAGGGCCAAGAGTTACAATGTCACACTACAGGTCTGAACAATTGATCAGTAGCGGAATAGAAACTGATGAGTATTGCATATTTCGTTTTGAATAACAGTTAAACTGAAAAAATCCTATATATAATTCTTATATTTCATTACATGTATTTCTTTTGTTTCCCAGCTCCAGGGTCCCCCATGGTGGGTTTGCCTATCTCCCAGGAGGAAGTGGGATGCAAAAGATCACCATTTCTCCTGTCACTTACACTCCAAACCTGCTGCCTACTGCCAGCACATGGTCAGTATAGCTTGTTATCTGTTCTGCCACCTACATGTACACTACAATCATGATGAACACATTTGTTCTGTCACCTACATGTACACTACATGGTGAACACATCTGTCCTGTCACCTACATGTACACTACATGGTGAACACATCTGTCCTGTCACCTACATGTACACTACATGGTGAACACATCTGTCCTGTCACCTACATGTACACTACATGGGGAACACATCTGTTCTGTCACCTACATGTACATGTACACTACATGGTGCACACATTTGTTCTGTCACCTACATGTACATTGTACACTACATGGTGAACACATCTGTCCTGTCACCTACATGTACATTGTACACTACATGGTGAACACATCTGTCCTGTCACCTACATGTACATGTACACTACATGGTGAACACATTAATTTTGTTCTGTCACCTACATGTACATGTACACTACATGGTGAACACATCTGTCCTGTCACCTACATGTACATTGTACACTACATGGTGAACACATTTGTCCTGTCACCTACATGTACACTATAGCTACATGGTGAACACATCTGTCCTGTCACCTACATGTACACTACATGGTGAACACATTTGTTCTGTCACCTACATGTACACTACATGGTGAACACATCTGTCCTGTCACCTACATGTACACTACATGGGGAACACATCTGTTTTGTCACCTACATGAACACTACATGGGGAACACATCTGTCCTGTACATGTATTCTAAATGCTGAACACATCTGCCCTGTCACCTACATTGTTGTACATGTGCACTGCATGGTGAACACAACTGTCCTGACTCATTGTACATTGTAACTGTAATACTAAATGGTAAACACAACTGTCTGTCAATTGTCGTCTACATGGTAAACACATCTGTCCATGTCACATGTTGAACACATCTTTTCTACATTTACAAATGTCATGGTAAACACAATCACCTGTCCCATATTTGTACAATGTACTGTATACAATGCAACCATCCATAAATTGTACTGAAAACTTTACATGTACCTTCTTGGTGAAGGAATATACATGTATAAAGTCAAAGTTTCTGTTGTGTTCTCTCCAGCATCAATCTGCTGAAGCTGCCTGAGTACAGGTCCAGAGAGGAGCTGAGAGAACGGCTGAAAGTTGCTCTCCAGCACGGCAGTCTGGGATATGGCATGGCATGATGCAGCTGATGTGTGCAAGTGGAGAACAACTGAATCATGAAGTCTTTGTTGTGCATGGAAATTACCAGCCATTAGTGTTTTGTTCACAATCACGGTTTGTTCTCGAATTTGCCTACTTTTTGCAAAAATGAAAAAAAACCATCAGGTTCTGACTCAACTCCAAAATGCTGATGTTTTGTGCTCCAATAGTTGAATAAAGTCCTTGTTTTCTTTCTATCAATGCAGTGGCCAGATGAAGTTAAAAATTCATTGTTTGAAATGAATTATTATTGATCAAACTGCTGTGTTGATGTTATCGATCATGGCCACTATTAAACAGAACTGTGACTGTCACAGTATATGGGGGTATCATAGAATGCCTTTTTTTTTAAATCTGAGAACCAAATTATTGAATTGGTGTAGTCTCAGTACCATGACCACAGAAGAAAACGTTACCCAGAAATATGTATAGTATTGCCAGTGCTGGTAAATGATGTTTTTAGGAATACATGAGAGCTCAATCTATAGTATCAGAGTCATCAAACCTGGTCTCAGCAAGTGGTTGCAGTGCTCAGGAGTGCAGTTGCTCCATATATTGGTTGGTTGCAATTGGCTGGATGTATGGTAACTACTGTTCAATTGCATAGTACTACAGTACAACTTTTTATCATGGAGTTATCATCTTTGTAAAGATTACAGTGTGCATCAATATATTTAGAACAAAATCAATGGCCAACAGTGCCAACGCTGGTAGAAACGGTGAATTTTAAATGGGTGCTTTTTAGCTGGATGTTACTGTCAATCATATGATAATTGTGGCTGTTAAGAGTGGGGTATGTATGTCATATGAGGTACAAATGTATGCCCGATAGGTCACAGAATGTTTTTTGAAATCGCTGTTTCTTTGTTTTTAAACAAATTCTCATTGGTGTATTAAAAGAGGACTCCCATGCAACAAAGACTGTCCTACATGCAACACATAAACACATTGTAATGTAAAATTCTGAAGCTTTCAGATGACATTTGCCATCTTTCTTCAGCTGCTGTCTAAGCACACAGGTTTTGTTGGAAGGTGCATGATCCGTGCAGGCAACAGTTGTTACCTCTAGGGAATGAAATATCCTTCCGCAGAAAGGTACAGTAACTGGTCGTGGTTTTCATGTTCGCAGCTGTTTCTCACGGAGGGGTGGACGGATTTTTTTTGGAGTCGGTAATACTATATACGTTTTGCTATTAGGCTGCAGATGATGCACGGTCTTTTCTTTTTATTACCTTCGCCAAGAAGGTTATGTTTTCAGGGGCGTTCGTGTATGTGTGTGTGTGTGTGTGTGTCTGTCTGTCTGTCAACACGATAACTTAAGAAGGCCTTGATGGATTGTCTTGATACTTGGTAGGTGGGTAGATCTTGATGAGACCTCAAAGTGATTAGATTTTGGACCCCCTAGCGGCTTGTTATGGTACTGCAGCTGAACTTCCGGTTTTGATATCTCATGATCTAGACATGCTATGGTGATGAAATTTAGATGGTAGGTAGCTCTTGTGCTGGGGAAGAAGTGACGTGAGTTTAGGCCCCCTAGCGGCTTGCTCTGGAACTGCAGGGATAAATTCTTGAAAATATTCAAAAGGGGATAACTCAAGAACCGGTTGACGGATCGTCGTGATTTTTGGTATGTAGGTAGCTTACGTGATGCTTAATATAATTATGTGACAATTATGCAAATATTGATGCAATTTGCATAATTTATGGAGAAATTCTATAAATCAGCTTCATTCAATAATAGGACAAATTAAAGCTTGTGACATTGGTAATTGACAACGAGAGAAACACAGGAAGATATTGATTATGTTAATAATGACTTAATTTGCATAATTAATGAGATAATTTTATAATTATGTAATGATAACTGCCTGGAATTTCATACTTGTGGTATTTGAAAGTTAAATTGAGGTGAACATCATAAAACATAATTTATTCAAATCAGGACCTCATTTGCATAATTTATTAGGAAATGCTAGAATGCATTGTTTGTTAATATAAAACTGTTTTTTGGTTGAGATTATTATAAAATGATATAATTCATAAAAGTTAGGTTCCTATTTCTTAAATCAGGGGGGAATAATCTAATCTATAATTTGTCAGTCATAAAGATTAACATCATTTGGCGAAGGTATGAGATCGGGGAACTCTAGTTGTATATGTGTTTTCGGGCGTGGAAATAGAACATTTTTTCGGCCTCTGGACACCCCCTTTCTTCCGAAAATTGTAATGCTTTCATGACTTGGCTGTTGTCAAGGTATAGCCGGTTTGTTCCATTTTTACCAGGCGTCTGACAGAGGGGTGTCTGGTTCCGATAAAAATTGGGTTTTCGATAGAGCGCCGTCGCGGGAAGGGGTCGGAGCACAGTGGGTCGGAGAATAGTTGTTCCAGATGTTAGACATCAGATACAGCCGGTGCAGGTGACGGCAGTGGTAAACTACTGTATTACACGTCATTTTCAACGTCTGGTTTAACTCCACACACAATACGCTATATCTACATACATATCAGCCACAATCATAGGTGTCTATTGAGGACTGTTGAGGACTATTAAATAACTGTCACATCTGCCGTGAATCGTGTCGACCTGGAAGAGGCGATACTGTGTTGAAGCGCCAGGTAACAGTGGAATTCACCAGTTCCCATCCCCAGAATGCAATGCGAAAATACGGGGTAACCCTCATTTGCATAGGACTGGAAGGCATCGGAATGATCCTGGTGACGTTAAACAGCTTGCCCTTCACTGTGTTTTTGAGGTGTTGGGGCATTTTATGCTCAACATTAATTAAATTACTAAGGGCCGAATCTGACAACAAATAGAGAATGAATTTTTTGGAATATGTGGTTTGTAACGTTATAGTGGTAACGCTATACTGCTGTAACGTTACAAACCACATGTTCCATGTTGAAAAGAACACTAAAACTTCATTCTCTATTTGTTGTCAGATTCGGCCCATAGTAATTTAATTATTGTTGAGCATAAAATGCCCCGACACCTCAAAACACAGTAAAAAGCAAACTGTTTAACGTCACCAGGATCATACCGACGCCTTCCAGTCCTATGCAAATGAGGGTTACCCACCTATTTTCGCATTGCATTCTGGGGATGGGAACTGGTGAATGACCTGATCAGCACCAAGGAGAGCACCAGTCCTACCCTTGTGTGCGTTCTTACAAGCAGGCAATGAAGACATGACAGGTCTTGTTTTCCCCGGTCTTTCCATTACCACCTATATGGCAGGAAGCACCATAGATGCTTCAGTGTCGATGTCAGTAAAAATACGCCGAATAACTTCAATTACAACACCACAGATCATTAGCACCATATACGGCAACATTTATTTATTTATTCAGCTTTACAGAAATTAAAATTCTGACAGGAGCCGGCACCAGGAACATAGAGTTCCTATACTAGGCCGACTCCTCTAGAAACATAGAAACAAAAACAAACAAGCAAGCAACAATTTAAAATGATGATAACAAACCTATAAGAACCAAACAAACTAATGAGTAATCAAATCAAATCGCTAAATAGTTTCAAACGGTTAAATGCGAGAAAAGTTCGGGACAGGGGACACAAGCACGGGGGTTAATGGAAAAAGGAGTCCAGTCCGATTGGCGGAAAAAGCAGTCCAGTCCGATTTTGGGGTGGAAAAAGCAGTCCGGTGGTTTCTACGAAAGACCATAGGTACAATTTTTTTCTCGTGGCATAATAAGAAATTAATGAGAAAAACTCTTTTAAAGAAAGCAGTTTGACTGAAACAGAACAATCATAGTCGACAATAAGCATTATTATTTTGTATTCCACCACACTGAATGTATCATGCTTTGTTCTGTATGTACAGGGTCCTCTTAGGCCACAACAATTTAATTTCTTGGTTAATGGATTTTTCTAGAAAAATAATGGAGCGGGTGAAAAAAAAATTAAAACAGGCCTAGGCGTCCTATTATGGCCCAAAATGGTACGATAGGAGCCATGAAGTCAACACACCAGGCTGGTTCGAAATGTAAACAATGAATATTAATTTTGAACTTTTAATGATACCATTGCATCGAAAGATGGAATAATTGTAACAACTAGGAACAAAAGACTGTTTCCATCTGCGCAGGGCAAAATATGAGCATTTTGCAGTTGATTCTTAATTTTAATTTTTTTTTTGCAAATCAGAAAAAAATGAAGCGGGCAAATCCGTTAACCAAGAAATTAAATTGGTGTGGCCTTATATATGAGGAAAATGAAAAATAAATTTCATAACAAAAAGTTCTGGTAAAATATATAAATAAGTCAACCTTAAGTCAATGGTAGTATTTATTTTAACCCTCTATAAACTTATACACCTTAAAGTTTTTTTCTATAAACATCTCAGGGCTCGAAATTCAATTTGTAAATAGGTGCACTTTTGCACCCAACCTAAAAAATTGGGTGCACGAAAAAGCACTTAGGTGTACCATATAAAATAGAATAGTAGAATATCAGCAAAAACTAACGATTATCATGTTTCATGTCTAATGAAAAGTACTACAACAATTATTAGACGTTGAGAATTTGCTGTTTCTACAGATTTCTAACATACATTTAACATCTTTTAAAGATTCTTTACATAGTTTTACGTAAACCTACGAAAATATTTGGGTACACAGCTACAAATTTGGGTGCACTAAGGTGCACATACACACAGTATTTCAAGCCCTGCATATGCTGCAGTAGATACTGAAGGTGTGATAAAGTCACTGACTGAACTATAATGATAATAAATGGTTAATTGGTCAAACATTACCCGTGCAATCACAGCCTTTTATAGTGCTGAATTGATGCAGGGTTTACATTGATTTCACTTAATTCACATGATACATTCATTCATACATATAACGTATCTGCTCCACATACTTTTGTGGAACTGTCGCAAGGGTCTGTGCGGCTGCCATTCGGCGCTACAAGGTGATCTCAATACTTCTTTCCCCAACCAAGGTTAGGTACCCATTCACACCTGGGTCGAGTGAGGAAAGTTGTGTAAAGTGCCTTTCCCAAGGGCACAATGTCGGGGCGCATGTCCAGGCATGTTCCGGGTACAACTCGGGATCAAACCCAGGTCTCGTTGTTTCATAGTCGAACACTCTACCACTACGCCACTAGACGCCAACTAGGCCATTAAGGGCCTTTCATCTATATACAAATGTACAATGTAGTACCCCAGTATAGAAGCAAATGCAGTAATTAATACACCAAATCACTGGCTAATTAATGGCTCACAGTTAATGAAAGTTTTTATAGTTATGTAGCGTGAATTATTTTTACTTCATGGCCTAATAGGCCTCTAGAAATGCAAAGTGATTATCTTGATCCAGTGAAAACTAAATTCTTCCACTGGTCATGACAGAGAAGACAGATGCTACATGTGTATGTATAGTATTAAATTTTACAGGTTCATTGTACCGGGAAAAATTCTGATAGCTTCTTTCAAGCAAAGCACAATGAAGTAGAAAGGTAACATTTGCAAAGCAAATGCATAAAATGTTTACCTTTGCATGTGATCTGCTCTGTTAATTCTTACTCAAATACATTCAAATATATTGGTGAGACACTGTATAAGTTCCTCCTACTGATAAAATTGCAACATGGCCATGTAACCCAACTCCAGTTACCATGGTGACAGACGTCAACAAATCAGGTAGCAAAAACAATATGTTTTCCCTCAGTAAACATAATGAACAGTGGTCCACAGCTTAATGTCTCATCCTAAGGCCTGTAACCCTTTCCAGTAGTGTGCATGTTGAGTGAGGAACAACAGCCAGGATTTGAACTGTATATATCCAGTGTTACTTTATACAGGTAGGATATACACCCTTCTTGATGCTTCCAACCTAGAAGGTCACTATGATGATGATGATGATGATTAAACTTACAAAAC